GAAGAGATTATAGTAGATAAGGCTGGAAAGGAAGGGCCACATCTTAAAGGCTCTTTGGAGCCATGTAATATTTCTAAGAGTAGCAACCATATCTGTCTTAGAAAGGTTAATCTGGTGATAACATAATGGGCTGGAATGGGGGTAGGGGCAGAGGACTGCAGGCAGCCTAGAACATGTTATGCTATTGTAAGAGCCTAGGTGAGATGAACATCTACTATGACTGTGAACAGCTACTATAACAAGAAGACAAACATTTCTGGGGTCAACTCAAGAAAATCTCATGATATATGGCAGAGTTGACGCATGAACAACGTGGGGGTTAGGAGCGCTGACCTCCACGCTGGCGAAAATCCACTTATAACTTTACACTTGGCCCTCTGGCCCTCCATATCCAAGGTTCCACAATCTTAGATTCAACCAACGGATTGTATACTACTGTGGTATGTATTTATTGAAAAATATGTGTGTAAGTGGACCCTCGCAGTTCAAGCCCATGTTGTTCAAGGGTCAACTGTACACAGAGGAAAAGATAGAGAAATCAGATTACCATGAGATGACTGCACAGAGAGAGAGAGTGATGCAATAACAAAATTAGGGGGGAATGGAACAGCTAATTCTTGGGGGCAAGGGAGAAGAATTTAGATTTGATTACATGGGTCATTAGAGATTGAGAAACCAAGGCTGACTAAAGTCATGGGGTCATGAAGATAGTTCAGGGACAAAGCCTAGAGACTGCCTTAAACAATGGTGGAGAGGTAAAAGAAGCCATCCGAAGAAACAGAAAACAACAACAACAAAAAACCCCACAACAGGTCATGCAGAGCTTTAATGAGTAAATGATTGATAACAAGTGTTACAGGGGTTAAACAGAAGTATGAAGAAACGCACCCACTGGATTTGGTAGTCAAAAGGTGACCACTGAGAGAATCACTTCAGCTAAAAGGTTAAATTTGAGGGTTAAAGTGAAATTGTAGTGAGATGAGGAAGTGAAGCAAACAGATTTCTAAGAACTTAGTCAGGAAGACAGATGGAAAAAAGAGCATAAAAGTCATACTCAAGATTTTTTGGTTTAAGACTTGAGATTTTTCACATAAAATTTCATCTGAAGAAGAAACTTGACAGCTGGGTGGGGACTGAACTGTCTAAATAAAATTTGAAACACTACTATGCAAAATATTTGCAACTATGTTGACTTGCGAGTCTGCACACTTAGTAGTAGTCAGTAGTACAATAGCAATGACCTTTATAGGAAAGTGTAAAGATTTAACATTTTCAAGACATAAATGCATAAATTCTAAGCTTCAAAATGTACTGAAGGATCCAAAGTTCTCCTATTTTAATAGTGCAGTTCTTGGAAGGTAGATAATGGTAATAAAGCACACGAGTAGTAAGTTTTAATTTCTAGTTAATGTAATTCTGTTTCCCACATTTTGTTCTCAGGTCATTCACATTCCCTGATTGGGTCTGAAATCCTGAAGGGAAGATAACCTAAAATGCAAGATGTTTTCCCCCCTCCTTTCCCTGCTCTCCCAGTAGAAATATGATATACAACGCCTGTAAACTTAAAAAGGAAAGACATCTCTGCTTTTAGGTTCCTTGTGCTTAACACTTTAGAAAGCTGTCACTCCCATCTGCAATATGCAGTGGGTTACAGGGAAAACTGAACAGAAAAGCCAGGACAGAGATTAAGGATGTTATACCTCTCCTGAGTTGTCCTCTTAATTTTCTTATCTGAGGTATATTGCCAGAGCCAATCATATCAAACAGAACTCTTCAATGAAATAGCACATTCTAAAACCAGTAAAATTTTGTTTACATATCAAAGTAGTTAAACAGAAGGAAGAAAGATTAAGAAAGAGCTGTTCTACCACTCTAAAGATAAAACTCATCATGTCACTTTTTACCAGCCTAAAAGTATTTTGAAAACAATGGTACTTTTGTCCCCTCCTCCTGGGATAAAAATGGTCATATCTAGAGGGAAGGGAGGCAATTTACCATGCCATCCCAGCACCCATACCTTACTAGCTTAGCGACCTTGTTTAAGGTATCTTTAATATTCTTCTCTGTTGGCATAAGTCAATTTTTGATATTTTTAAGAGTAAAAATGATTTTCAGATTGGAATCACTTTCAAGATCTTATGGTTTCTGTTGAAGATAGAGATACAAGAATTTTTAAATATGACAAGATGAAAGTAAAATGTCAAATATAAGAAAATAATTACAAAACATGGAAAAAGATTATGGTTATCAATTTTAGTATTTATTGAAAGGTGGAAGACAAGGAAAATTCCTCTCAAACTCCAAAAATAAATCCTGCACCTTCGCTAAAAATGCAAAATGAACTGAGATATTTGCTTTACATGACAATGAAACTATCCAAAAAATAACTGAATTCAAATTTACCAAAACAGTGCAAATCTATTATTTACAAAGATGATCTTACCTGCCATAAGTATTTGGGAAAAACCTATTTTACACTCAGGAACACTAATGAAATACCTTGAAGACTTAATCCAAGAAATAAAATATTTCCTACCCTCCATGACCACCCCCCCCACAAAGTTAAAGAATGGATTAAAAATGAATATATGCAGAAACAAACAGTATTTCCAATAACCTTATACACATACACGCGCACAGGCACATGCACACACACACAGAGTGTTGTGCTAGATCAACCTAATCTTTATTTAAGGTCAACAGCTGTAGTGACAAAGACGATAATGAATATGGCTTTAGTAAAGTTTTCAACCAAATATCACAAATGCTTAATTCTTTTGATGGCTAACCAGCTAACCTGAGTATGGAATATATATTACTTAGCTAAAAGGATATGAACAAAAATAATTAAAAAGAAAAAAATCACTGTAGCAGACACCACTGAGGTACCTTAGTTTTTTTTTTTGTAAAGGTCTGTATGGCAATTTAATAATTTACATAACAACTATTTATTATATATAGTATAAGTTCACATAGAAACTGTATCTTAAGTGCTTCATTATTCTGGTCCAAGAAACTGGAATTAACAGAAAAAAAGTTGTGTTCAGATAAGAACTGGAATGTACTACCTAGGAAACCATTAATATAATACAATATTGAAATAAAAATTATTTGTATGTAACAAACGTAGCCAACAACTTCTCAGATTGCATCTCAAGAGAATTTTTAAATTATAACCCATAAGACAGGAACATAAGCATTACTCAAGGTGACAAGGCTGTATCTTGAAATCTGTGTTCACTAACTTGTATTTCACCTCCACAGAGATGTATGCATTTTACAAAACAATTAAAATTTCAAAATATGGAGAAGTTTGACTATAGTTTACATAGGAAACTACACTTAAAAGCGACCACTCTGGTTGCTTTAGGTATGTCTTTAAGTTAAAAGTTTAAGGCTCATATATTTTGGAGGGATACCCTAAAGACATTTTATTGCAGTATGGTCTCATGCATCTATGTGTATGACACTGGAAAACTGGAGCTAAAACGAACCTTGTTAAATATGTTACCCTTCACTTAAAGAAAGAAAAACCTAAACATTTTTACCACATTCTCTCTCAATTTTCAATACTGGTTTGTTATAAACTTTTGTCTCCCAAAAAGGTAGGTGAAAATACATAAATTTTGCTAAAAATAGAAGATAAAGGTGGTGAGGAGCAGGATAAGTAATATATAAAACAAAATCCCTATTTACATTTGCATGATTTATACTTTCCTTACGTCATGAAAATTCCTATGTTGCAAATATACTGATTTTTCTACTAACCACTGAGATTTCCTTACAATATTTGCCTACCCTTTTAAACTGGAGGCCAGAAATGACATCAATGCTGCAGTTTATTTTTCCTGATGAAATGCCTCTAAGTAAGCTTCTCCCTGACCAGAGAGATAAGCAGTTTTATGGGTACCACAAATGAGGCTGGAGCAGAAACCACTCAAAGTGGAATAGCAACACACTAGCTCAAAAGGCAGCACAAAGAACCCCATCTGAAAGTAATCAACCAAAGTATAAGCCCAGAAAAATACCAAATTCAAGTAAAAGAAAATAGATTTGCAACCAGCAGAGTTCCTAACATCAAAGCATACACTGATGACATTTGTTTGACTTTTAATTACAGTAATGGAAGCAATCTGAAACAATGCTGAAGTCCATTATTGAAGAGATTTGTTTTAATCATCTTTAGCTAGGCACTGGCAATCCTGTTTCCTATCCCAATTTTACTTTCTAGAGCTTCTTTTGAAAAAAAGAAAAAAATACTCTAAGTTGTTTACCTTGCTAGGGTAGGGAGAGGGATGCTTAGAAAGATGAGGTAACAAATCTTATTTTTTGAGTTATCTCTTTGTATATGGCAGTTGAGTCACTGCCCTTATTTTAATATTTTGTATTTGCCATATTTTCCTTCTGTTCCTCAAGAAAAATGTAATAGAGGATTTTAACTGCTCAGAATTAAACTTTCTGTAACTGAACATTTTTTCTCAGCTACTATTAGGTATAGTATGGGTGCTGATTAGTAAGAAAATTTTCTCAACTTCTTATTTCATACACTACAAAGAAAATTCACGTTATAGGGCTACATAATTGGGTCACATAACTTCATTAGTTAAAGGGTTAAATATCACTAACAGACCTTGTTTCTCCCAACTTATAAAATTGTTTCTATTACCTAAACTGCTCTCTTAATGTTGAATATAAATATTTAAAAATGTATTCCAGGGAGTATAGGAAGTTTCACATATTCATCTTATTCAGCAATTTAAGAAGTTATGCAAAATATGATAACATATATATATATTCCCATACATACACACACACATATAAATATGCTTTCATAACTGAATCTTGGTTCTAAAAATGCTTGTACAGTGTGGGGAATTTAAATATTCACAAGATTTGAATACATACATCTGCAGTCCATTAGCACTCTAAGTGGATATACCGGCAGAAACATAATAGATCGAATAAATGATTTAACTGAATTGTCAGTTTGGTGGGGTTTTTTTGCAGACCCAACAGAAAACATGTTATTATGAACCTTTATTAAGTGGCTCACATTTCAGTATAAATCACACTAAAAAGGGTTTTTTTTAAAGCTATTTACACTACAGTGCTGACACATTTAAAATGAAGGGAAAATCGGTATAAATAAGCTCTATGGAAAAGCCTTAAATTGTCAAAAAAGAATTCTGGCTCATATCACAAAATATATATAGATATATATATGTTAATGTCAGTTCTATTCTAAAACCTACAACTCCAACTCAAATGATTTTTTTAAAGACTCCTTTTGTTTAAACCTGCAATGTTTACAGTGCATCTGGCCCTAAGTGCTTTGATACTTCACAGTTATGGACAGGCACTGAGGAATGTTACAAAGCTACATAAACTATAATTTGTAACAGACTTGGGAGCAAGTTCTTGGCTTGCTTTCAGAATTCACGAATCTTTATTACATTATTAAGTTTAAGAAAAAAGACAATTTTAAATGGTATATACAAATTTAGCACAAAATGTTATCATCTTTTCTCTCTTGATTTGAATGTGTTGAACTATGTTGCCTTGTATCAACTAGACTTATGATACTTCCAGGACACATTTCTTCCTTTAAATCTTTGTTGCTATTTTCAAATTTAGAGTCCACATCAATCTTAAATTCTGTAAATTGAACATGATCCAATTTTGCTTTAACATTCTTGCCATCCATATTATTTGGTGCTCCAGTCTTTTCAGGAATATAAACATTCACAGGTTCTTCCTTGATTCTTACAGTTGCAATAGGTTCATGTTTAATCTGCTGTAATTCATATTTAGAATGAAGTTTGTCTGAAAGAACAGAATCCAAGGAGGTTTTGCTTACAGCACAAATCATGTTGTCAGTGTGAGGTCCAAGAACTGATGATGTGGAATCTGGTGATGTGCATGTTTCATGAGTAACTGTATTCTGAGCAATGTCCTCCTCTGAGTGATATAACTTGAGACGAACATGCCATGCTAAACTGCATACAGCTGAAACTGTCTTGAACTGATGAACAACATTCCTTGGAATAAAATAAATGTCATTATCATACAGCTGAATCCTGGCATAGCGAATGCCTTCCCTCCTCAGTTGATTAAGTTTTGCATCATCAACCCACTGGACACACTAAAATAAAACAAAACAAAACAAGAAATACCAGTAAGTCTTTTCCACAATAAAAATTAAATTGAAGATAGTAACAGTTTAAAATATACCTGGGACAGTGGAGGTTCATGTAAATCTAACTGCATTCGTTGAACTACTTCTAAGAAATCTTCAGCATGAAAACAAATTACATCTTTGGTTATTCGGGGTTGATCAGGCCTAAAAAAGAACATGAGATAATGAAGAGTCTGCCATTAATGTTTCACTCTGCTAAGTCCTTATTAAATTCAAAGCAAAAATAGTTTATGGTCAAAACCAAAGTATTATCTTAGAAATGAACTGTAATTAGAAGACCACTTTACATATTTAAACAAAGGGATAACACCATGAGTTTCAACCTAAATATGGATACAAACAACTCATTTTATTATTTACACACACACACACACACACACACACACACACACACACATTTTGGTATAGCAGAGAAACTTTATTCATTAATCAAGGAATGGAGAAGGGAGAGCTCATGCTCTAAAAACACCTTCTCCCTGAAGGGAGAAGAGTAAGGGAATTGTAAGGGGTAGGAGGCAGACATATCATCAGGGCTCTTGGAAAGGCGTGGAGATTTCCAGGAGCAGCCTCACCTCATTTTATTATAGCTATGTGTAACCATATTTTGAAAAAATTAAATTGACCTGAATTGGTTAATTATGCAAATCAAAAAACTAAGTGTTTAGTCTTAAAGTTAAGACTTTAACTTAAAGTCTTTAATTTGTTGTCAATACTTCAACAAATTAAGTGCTAAATTAAAAATACTACATAATATAAAATTTAGAGGTAAATATAGGAGAAAGGGAATACATTCTTTCAATACAGACATATATAACTGCAATGATACCAAAAATCCCTAAATAACTCCTAAAAATTAAGAGCCATTCATTAGAAAAGTACTTATAAAATAAACTGTTACCATCCTACTTGCTGAAGTTAATAGAGTCTTTAAATATAATTCTAACAAAAATCCCCAAATTCTTCAATTAATTTAGAATATACAAATACATGTTTATAAAAGATGCTCAAAATGGATTTTGGAATAAAATCCCAAGCAACATAAATACCAACCCCCCCAAAACCATACCAAGGCAAATCGTAACCAAATTTAAAAAAAAACAGTGATAAAGAGAAAATCTAAAACTCATGCATCACATTAATATACAGGGAACCGGGCACGTAAACTGAGATGCGTTTTAGGAAC